CCTTCTGGCGCCCGTGCCAGAGGCACTGCATCAAAATACCACAAATCGCCGACGCTTGTAGCACGGGCGCTGAGAGATTTCGTCAATGTGCTATTACATCAATTTCGGTTTTGAATCTGATCCAAACTATGACTGCAACTTGCGCTGAACACATTTTACCAGACTTTTTACCTGAGTTCCAATCGTAGAAAAGTATTTCGAGCTGGGCTACACCTAGGAACTATCCTCTCGAAATGCTGAAGTATTCGACAACTTTTGGGATGCGCCGCGCACCTCATTTCACTCAAGATTATACTGACGTTCGGATGTGAATTAGTCCTTGTAGTTACAGTGAGCCAGACTTTTGAATACGGAAATCTTTTATTCTTCTCAAGTCTAGGAAACAACCTTTAGTCCTTTAGTTCACTCGTGACGGAGAGTACTTCCCCTCCTGTGACCGGTACGTGTGCAGGAGAGGCTTGAGAGGTTATCGAGGAGGGAGGACATATTGAAAAAGTCTTCTTACGCTTACTTTTCAGCGAGCACAGTACCGATTTTTCACTACGTGGAGAAAATACTTTCTTCACCTTCACGCTTTCACCTTCCCTCCCTACTCATGCTCTCATTGCACATTACTTCCTTGCTCGGGAGAGTAGTGTGATAAGGCAAGGTACAAAAGTCCACTGTCGGTTTGTTCCTTCCTAACTTTACTGACCTAATGATGGCTCCAGTACCCTTTCGCAAATGCAGGGTTTTCTTCGCACACTGCATTATGTAGTAACACTCGCCCACTGTGATTTGTAAGATTATGATCGAGTTATTAGTTTTTCTTCCATTTTTCTATGTTCAGTTTTTTTCTTCTGTTCAAAGACTTCTTGAATTATCCTTTTCGCAGAGTTTTTTCGTTTCCACCATCCCTCACGAGATGTTGTGGAAGAAGACACCTGCTAGCTGGTTTTCAGTGCACTATTAACAGCCAAATCAAAGGGAGCCGCTCATTTTTTTGTCCTAACACATCCTCTTTCCTATTCATTTTCCGCAGTCATACCATCATCCCCGATTGTGGTGAACAACCTGAACCTGCGGACTCTCTAGTTACCAGGATTTTGGAATGTTGTTTGGGTGTCGAATTATTATAATAGAGCTACGGCACCATTATTGGATCAGCACTGCCCTCTCCTTGGCTCTTACGCTTGCACGAATACTTATACTTTTCCATTCAATATATTTTGAGCAAAGTGGAGAAAGATATTCGCCTCAGAAAACACAATGGAATACAGTACGCACGTGATTCCGACGCAGAATCACAGAAAGGCGTGTTCAGACTTCGCGTCGACGCGCCACGATGGACAATAGCACGCGTCGACACACTATCATTGCAACAGCGCTACAGTGCTATAACCGGGAACGCAGTTAAGGGTATCGATTAGCGCCGGCCGCTGCTGAGTGGGTGTGGAAAAAAAGGAAAAGAGCAAACTGCGATCAGGCAACGCGTACCCTCCTACTCTCTCATACTTCTTCAAAGTTGCAGCGGCCTTTGCCGATCAATACCCGTCCATGACTGCGTTCCGGTCTATGGTATTGTAGCCAAGGCGCATCATCGTTGGGGAGTCCCAACAGGATGGTCTTATCTGGTCGCTGGGCGGAGAGGAGGGGGGGGGTCGTATTGGTCTGAAAAATTTCTTGATAGTGGATTTTTCTTGCTCCCCGGATGCTACAAGTGCGGAAGGGGTCGAAGTAGCCCTATCCCCGCTCGACAGCTCAATCGTATCAGAGGAGGGTAGCAGGGAGGGTCGCACCAAGTCACCCCCTAGAGACCAAAATCCCAAACCAATGATGTGCCCACGATAGAGCGCTATTGCAATGGCAGCGCGTCGACACAAGGACTGCACCTTGCCGTAGCTTTCAGTTACAATTCCTGTGTATGAGAAGATAGTCTTCGATCGTTCTTCCCAGTATTTTGTCCTTACAAAAAGTGTGCGGGGGAACTGCTTCATGATACTTGTTCGGATTCATACAGTTGCCAAAACGTGACGTGTAAACGTTCAAAGTGCCAAGTAAACCGTACCTATTTCTAAAAGCTCAGCAATACTACCAATCCAGAGGAATCATCGAAAAGTGACAAAAATTTCACCGGAGAACTTTTCTGCTCGCTATTTCGCTAACTTAATCCGGGGGGTGGAAACGGAAGGACAGCTGTAACTTGCCGGCTCGTTCGCGCGCGGCACATACTCAATGTGCATCAATTGTCGACTGAAGCGGTGGAACTCATTGGAATTCAAGCAGAGGAGAGATTTTGTTTCGAGCGATATCGATTTTTTCCCTTTTCCTTCATCATGAGTTTGAACTGCCAGCCAGGACAACTCGTCTCTCTCGTGTGCGGCGGCGCTCGCCACGTCTACTTAGGTATGTTGCGATTGTCTTGTCACATACCTCTCCTAAAGGCAACATGCATCTTTGACCAGCAAAAGAAGAAGTGAAAGAATTGGTATTGTTGATAGTGCTTGCAGATAGAATGTTCGGTCAATGGCACTTGATTTATTGTCACGTGTCGTGTCATGCAAAAAATGTGGTAATGTGATTGAAAAATCCACGGTGTAAGATGAGGAACAGCAAAACGGAGGCGAAGTGTCTGTTACAACTGGCCAAAAACAAAATCAACTTCTCATAGGGATCACAAAGCCCTTCAATACGCAACATTTTGAGAAGAGCTCGAAAACAAATTGAAAATTGTCAGAACAACAAACTCCTTATCATAGCACGAGTGCTTGATTTCGCTTTCCAGTTCTTATGTTCTGTTTTGTTCTAAATTTCTTGATAGAAACTTTGCTGCTATTTCTTGGCATTCTAATTTGGCTCTCAAAGCTTGTCTATTTATTCTGGCTCCTCTGAGGTCAGGATACAGCATCGTTGTGCGAAACACATAGGGGGGGTCGTACTTTTCCGTTGGGGAGGTGGGGGAGGGGTCGTATGTGCATTTGAGAGAAATTTGCTGCCGTTGGAAAAAAATGTTTCCCAGTTGCGGACTATTCGTAGTTTTTCCTGTTTCATGCGTATATATACCTCCCCACCTCCCTCCCCCCCCCTCCCGCACGAGAGCAAACTTTTTGGCTAAAAGTAGCAAAATTTTCCAGAAATTACGTAAGAAGCGGTAGGAAGTTGGGAATATCTAAGAGATTTTCCGTTTCACATTGGTTTCATACCCCTCCCCCCTGCCCCGCTCGACATGGGAACAGTCTTTGCTGTTCTCCTGCCGATGGAAAAAATGGGAGAAATGTGGCGAAATCGGTAGCGTAGAGTGCTTGAGGAAGGGGGAAGGCCGGATGTCGTATGTTTGTACCGAGACCTTCTTTTAGGTGGGGGGGGGTCGTACTGACACCGCTATTTCACACATCAAGATGTTGTACCCTGTCTGAGGTATTTAGAGATAAATGTACCACTCTTAAGTACCGATTTCATTCATTCTCCACATCCACATCGTAGTCACGAATCATTCGAAACAGGACACTGTGAATGGTGGGGATTCCTCTATGGGAGAGCTGGGTATCGTATTTCAGATTTAGGTTCCAAAGCGGAGAATATTCCGCAACAAAGGCCTTCTGGAAACTTTGCAATTGCTTTCGTCTGATTTCTGCTGCTCCGAGTCGTAGTCTGCCATAAAATACAGTCTTTAGTCGGGAGAGCTGATATCTTTCCAGTATAAAGGAGGTCATCTCCTTTCTCGCTCCATATACTAGGGTCTGGTTAATCCCGGAAATCAACCAGTTAAAGGCAAACAGCTTGATAAATCGGCACGACAAGGTATACAAGGTCGACACGCCTAGCAGCACGAAAGAAAATTGTGCCCATCAACATAGCGCCTTTTCAAACCAAGTACCGTTATAGGGCCTAACCAAGGTGCAACGTGCCGACCCAGACGCCCATCACAACCGCCCGCCCACAAATGGCCGCACAGTCACATCGACGCTGATACTCTTATCGGTTCATTTATAAGTACAACTGACGTTAACTTTGCGATATGGATATATGAATACGTGGGCAGTCGTAATTATCAAAGTGGTTCTTGACGGCAAACTCGCCCAGAAGTGCTCGTCCAATCACAGCATATCATTGGTTCGGGAATCTGGTCGAATCCGTGCCACCGCCCCCACCCCCATTGTGAGGTGGCTTGATAAGATTACCCTCCTCTGGCACTATCGAGCTGTCGAGCGGGGAGGGGAAAGCAGAAAAACGCGAAAAGTCAACAACCGGGAAAATTTTCCCAACGCCGCAAATTTCTTTCAGAAGGCAAATACCGCCCTCTCCGCAGGGACAAATACAACCCGCTCCCTGTGGGGGAATCCCCAATAGTGATGTGCCCTGCGTCCAATGCCGTCTTTTTTAGCACGTTCGCAGGGAGATGGGCAAGAGAATCGTAATTTGCCGCTCCGCCGCGCGCGGCGATGGGCGCGGCGTTTTCTTAACTCGTGTTAACCTGTCGATTGGAGCACCGAACTTCATGTAGACCCCGTCATTGTAGACATTCATGACCATTTTCGGTTCTGAATTGCCTGTTGTCGCCATCTACTACCTGTAACCATCGTCATTTGCGGGCGCGACGTCGCACGCGACGCCCACAGCGCGGCCAACTACGATTCTCTTGTCACATACCCTGATCCGCAAGTGGGCTTGCTCTGCACCTATGGGAAACCATAGTAGTAAGTCGAAAATCTATTTTTCCTTCAAACGGCCCAAATCGTAGCAGTTTTTCATTACTTGGACTCAAAATAAAACGATAAAAAACTAGTTGAAATAGATTGGAAACAAATATAATGACAATAAAATAAATGAAAGGTGGGCCCGAATAAGCAATGTGACCATGTTGCGAATTGAGCAACATGGTCACATTGCCCCACATAATCTTCATGTCATAGCTGACGTTTTACAGCCCTTATGACGAATCTTTGATTGATTCAATTTGCAGAAGGAACGGTCACACCCAATCCCGTTGCTCTTCAACAACCATCCGCTTGTTATCAATCATGACTGCGAGTACAGGTGAGCGCGAAGTGGCCCAATTCTTGGGGATTCTACATAATTGGAAACCGGGAAAAGGTATCTTTTTCAGGCTTCAAATGCACTCCAAACCCTATCCTTATGGTGATGCTGCATACACAACCATTGAACACCACAAAGTACCGCATTGTATCGACGGTTTCTGCGCTTGTAGTGGTTTGTTTACTCTAGTTCATTTTTAAAGTTTCATTCTGGATAAAAAATTACCTTGGGCGCAGTTCGGCGGCGGGGAGGGGCATTCTGAACTTTCGCTACTCAACTAGTTCCGTTTACATGTCTCACCCTTGGTGGAACCTGCGAACTCTTGTAAAGCTGGAGCAAATCTCGCTGAGCCACCATGGGAAAAAATGCTGCACCAAAATGGCTCTCAAGAATGGGTCGTGGGAAGAGCAGAAAGTGCAAAAATGCTCCCCCCCCCCCGCCGTCGCCGCACTGCTCCATTACATCGTATTTTTGCTAGCTTGTATAATCAGTGATAACACGAGGGCTGTGTAGTCCTCCAGCGAGAATCACTTGTTCTGTTTTACGATCGATTTTAGATGGATGGGAAGACAAGATGAGCAGCTGCCACTGCCCGGCGCCCGTCCATCTTGTCTCATCCTCCATAAGTGCTAACCTAGGAGAGCGAAACTTTCAAAAGAGAACCAGTTTATTTAGAGGGAGCAGTAGAACTGCCTTCATCACTGATGGCCACCGAAGTACTTGGAGGAGTAGAAATCACATGGAAGCACAATCCCAAGCCGGAGCGTGTTTATACGTTCTACATAACCCTTCATGAACGGTTTGTTGGCCATCTTGGCTAGTTTTTCTTAACAGGCAACATCATTGTTGGGAATTCCACAACAGGGGGTCGTACTTGGTCGCCGGAGGAGGCTGGGGGGGAGAGGCGTATTTTCCGAGAAAGTCCTTTATGATAGTTTTTTTTTTTCTGGTTTTCACGGACGCTATATAAGGGGGACCGTACTTGCTCGTTGTTGGGTGAAGTGGGGGGGGGCGTCAGGGTACAGCATCCTGATGTGTGAAATGGTGGTGTCAATAGACCCCCCTCCCACCTAAAAGAGGGCCATGGTACGAACCTCCTCTCTCCCAAACCACCATATACCAATTTCTCTTATTATCCAATCAGTTTTCACCCAAAAATTTTCCGTCGATGGGGGGGGGAGGGCTTATATAGTACACATGAAACAGGAAGAATCACGAAAACGCAAATTTCTCTCAGAGCTACAGACGATCCCACTCTCCCAACAACGGACAAAATACGACCCCCTCCCCAGGAAAAGTACGACCCCCTGTGTTTCACGCTATGCTGTGCCCTGCGGGGGGGGGGGGTCGCATTTGCTTCCGAGAGAAATTTGCGGCATTGGGGAAAATTTTTCCAGGTTATTGACTTTTTGCACTTTTACCTGGTTCACATGTGCTATATACCCCTCTCACCTCCCCCCCCCTCGATCGTTTCACGGGAGCCAACCAAGGGGGGGGTCGCACGGGCTCGACCAAAATTCCCAGCTAATGATGTGCCCTGTCTCTCAAGCCTTTTAGGCATTAAAATGAATTGCTTTCAGATTTCGACCACCTATAGAGTTCAAAGATCCGAACGCTTTTCGATATCGGATCGCCGATGATGGAGAACGGGAATTGAGTGGAACAAAGGTACTGACAGCTGTCTTCCACTAATAACCCTCATCAAAATCCCGTGTTTCCTCGTTACAGGGCCAAGTGAATTACACGTACACATTTGACTACGATCTGCAAAGACTTGAGGAGTACAAAGTGACATTGTTTGCTGAGGACGACCATTACTGCCATACAGACGATGCTACCACCTACTTCAACACATCTGCCATCGAAACGATGTTGCCACCTCGAGCCATCCCGAAGACGTCCTTTTCGTCATTGGAGCGTTTTATGGAGGGTCAATACACTCCTCACAAGTTCAACAGCACTGCAGGTGGGTTCAGCTATGCTTCCACGCTCCTGGTTTTGTTCAGATATCCACTCGCGACCGGACTAGTAACGAACATAGAAGCCAAGTTTTTTGGTCTCTTTGCAGTAGCCTGTAATCACACAGTCACATAGCCATATTTGATAGAGAAAAGACCAAGGCACTGGCGAACTGGCGCAGCGCCAAACCCAGCCCCCTCCCCCT